CCATGAAAAACACCAAAGTAACTAATAAAATAATAAAATATAAGTTTATTAGGAAAGGTTTATTCCGTTCTCCCCCGGTGTAAGAGGGAACAAGGCCGCGAATAAGGAGGCCTCGGCCCGCGGGAACGCTGAGGGGCAGCCGCCCGGCCCCGGCTACCTCCTCACCCAGGCCAGGCTCCCCTAAACCCCCAGAGCTACAGACCATCTGGAGGGGGGCGGGAGGGATAGGGCTTTTTTTCTTTATATTTTCCACAGAGGAGGCTGCAGAGCTGCAGTGGGGACAGTCTCCTTGTAGACATGTAATTGCTGTGGGAGTGCTTGAAAGCTGGAGAGGAACATCAGCAGATTGCTCCCACAGAACAGCGTTTTAATCATCATTATCTTAATGCTTGCCAAAAGCCATCAAGATTGGAGACACCATGGACCACATTTCCTCCGGGTTGGAGCCTGCCCACATCCCTTGTATATTCAGTTTGGGGAACATCGAGTTAAAACCCAACACCGCACAGAGTCCATGCTTCCACTCGCCCAGCCCACCACATTCTGGAAGAGCATGTGGCTTTCAAAAGCGTTTTAATACATGGACGGGGACTTTTTGTGAGCCAATGGGAAGCCAAAGAGCCCCTGTCTGCAGGCGGACACCAACAAAAGGCAGCGCTGACCTGCTGACTCCGTCCCACCCCTCGCAACTCGTGGCAGGAAAAGCACAGGAAAAGCGGCTGCAGTGCAGATTCTCTCACATGTGATTCCTAGGGGCAAATAAACCATTGTGAAGGGGGCTGAAGTGGAAAGGAGGTACAGAGGGACAAAACTGCATTGCTGGAAGCGTTGGTATCCATCAGGGAGGAAACTGAAGTGGCTCAGGTGCCAGCTGGAAACAGCATCTTGCATTACAGACATGCCTGCCATCTGCCTTTTTTAATTCACCCCTTTGCAAATTTATTCCCTCTTGAAGCTGGCAGACTGGCAGAAAGCTTTGAGGACACTAGCCTGGTGAAAAATACCACAGAAGGAATTCCTATACAGGAGTAAATTTAATAAAACCACCACCAATTGTTTACTTTAACATAGCTCTTGTTACAGAAATCATAAAAATGGACTCAGTAGCTAACTCATTAGTTCTTTCTCCTTTTAATTGAAAAATAGCCCATTGATTTCAACTTCTACTGCACTAGATGGAGTGTTAAATATTTGCCAGGACAGTATGCCCAGTAACTGAGCCCAAAACAAACACAAAGACAATTCCATCATCTTTCCTTTTCAATGTTACGACTCATTATAATGTAAGTGAAACTTAAACAGCAATGAACCATCCATTTGACAGATGAAAGGGGGAGGGAGAAGAGATCCACAGCTGAAATCTTTCCATGAGTCTTTTGAGAAGTGGTGCAAAATACCCCTCCTTTTCCTGCCTCAGAAAAAAAAAAAACCCACCCTCTAAACACACACACACACACACACACGCAGAGCCTCTGGGTTCAGACTGTGTGTCCTGCGTGCATGGACGGGAACAGTAGAGTTGGATTTGGGCAGGTAGCAATCCAGGGCCAAAAAAAAGACAAGGCATCCTGAATCACAGTGTACATTGGCCACTAACACAATGCACACCGGGTTACCGAGCATCAGGAGCTGTGCGCAAGGGGACGGGTCTGTCGCCAGCAATGGATACACACACAAAACCATGGAGGCCGTGGATGTAAAGGAACTGCAGAAAGAGGAGAAACCCAACTTCTCTCGTAAAAGCCTTCCAAAAAAAAAAAAAAAAAATATTCACTACACCAGCACACGCTTCCCCCACCCCATCCCAGGGAAAACAAAATGAAACAAACAAACAAAAAAAAATCAAACTGAAAGAAAATGCACAGCAAATAGACATAATCTTGAAGATTTTTAAAGAATAAATATTTTTTTTGTAATTAAACATTATGCAAACACGTGCCACGCTTGCTCTTTGTCCATGCATATGCGCTATATACAACTTTGAAAAATACTGTGTTGTCCTCTTTTTGTTTTAAAAGTCATATACAAAGGTTTGTTTTTTTTTTTTTTCCCTCCCTTGCTGTGTACCCCCCCATCCTCCCCTCCAAGAATCATCTTTACAATGAGCCAATGGACATTCATCTGTGTACTTGGGTGACAGAGAGGAGGAGGGGGGCAGGAGAGCCATTCCCCCCTTACCAAAGTACATCAAAATGACTGGTTTGGACATGAAAAGCAGTGTCAAGAAACTGGTTTAAATTTCATCTGTACTACACACAGGAAAAGAAAGATATAAAAGAAAAAGGAGTCGGCTTGGAGAACAAAGCTACGTTACAAGTTAAAGTTGGAGGGTTTTTTTTTTTAGTGCGTCTGTCACACTCTTATTGGCCACCTAGAATACTGTTGTACAATGGTTTATCTACCTTTTTCTTTATTACAATATAATTTACTTAAATTTTCTGTTAACAAAACAGAATCCGGGTACTACAGACCAGCGGTGTAACAGGCATAGCGCCTTGTGTGTGTTTTATTTGAATCACATGAGCACTCTAGATGGTAAAGGTTTCAGAGTTCATTTTATGTGGGGCCAGTCTCAGTCCTCAATGTACTCCCACAGGTCCTTCTCATAGCCTTCATGCACGTGCTGCAACAAAACCCTTCGTCGACTCTCGCAGTATCTACAGCAAAGGGGGACAAGCACAGAAAAGGCAGGTTAGGAACCATGGCTCATCCCCAGCATCAAGTGATGCAAACCTGCATTAAGCCCCACTTCCAAAAGAGGAGATCCCCTGAGAAGGGACTTTGTATTTGTAGCCCATTAACAGTGTGAATTAAGACTTCATTTACTCCAGTCACTCAACTCCAGGTCCCTGGCTGAAAAAACAGCATGCAAATTCAGTTTCCCATGCAAAAGTATCCCCAAAACCCTACAGCTGAGAAACCTCCATTAATAACTGAAAAAGGAAGAAGCAGCAGCTGCAATTTGCAAAAGCCAGAGCATGGGTTAGCAGTGACACCCAAAATGGACGAAGCTCTCCTCAAACATGGGCTGGTGCCTACTCTGAGCGCTATCAGGACAACAAAAATCCAGGACCTAGCTGGGCAAAACCTCAGGAGCACTGACGCAGTTTTATTCCCCTCCAAAATCCCAGTGGAAATGGAGGTGGGTCAAGCTGGCTACAAAAAGGGTTACTGCTCTGGTTGGAGTGCAAGTTTTACCTCACATTGCAGCTCCTGGGTCTCAGAGGGGCACTACACCCTTCAGAGTCTTCCCACCTACACTCACTTAAACAGATAAAGCTGCAAATAAAACTGATCCCAGAGTTAGGTACAGTCCTACCAGGATCAATGATATGAGGAAAAGTGATATCATAGGAACATATCAAAAGATGCCATGTTCATTTTGGGTGCATTAGCCAACTAAAAAGATAAAAGCAGAGAAACATTTAAAGTATTTCAGGTTCCAAGAGCAAATTATGAACAAGCAGCAGGTGTTTCTGGATTAAACCCCTTCCAGTGGCGATGCCAAAGTCTACATCATCTTTAGGTGTGTGGGGGGCAAGACAAGTCTTAGACAAGACAGGTCCCAAGCACAGCTGTGTAGCCGGTTGATGGTTCAGCA